TTCTAGTTGATGACACGCACACCATACTACGTATCCGTTAATCGCCAACCAGAGAATTCAATCGATGTGCATGCACATATCATACAATGAACCCCAATCGAGAATTGCACTTGTGTTAAACCACGCCCACTAGCCCTGCCAGCCCCGCCCACTGCTAGTCCCGCCCACATTTCATCATCACTGCCGTAGTGTTTTTTTGCTGTATAGCTCTAGGAGTCGCTGTAAAATATAAGTGATCACTTTTCTTCTGGAAAAGGCCGTCTGAAAGCAACCATTCAATCGCGAACGATTCTATGCTTTCATCATTACCAACATCGTCAATCTTATTGTTATCATCCGATTTGTGTACATGTCTGAATTTGGGACTAGAATAAACCTATATGGACCCACAACAGTTTCTTTCTTTTTACACACACATAAAATGCATATCGATTGAATTGAAATCAATATTCGCAGAAACGGGGAGGGAACAAGTAAGTGGCGGTGTGCGGTGCTCCTTTTTGGTTAGCCTAGTGTCACGTCTCTTTAAAGAACGAAGTAGCCCACTAATTGGCATGCATTGTGCGATCAATAACCTTCAGCTTTACCTTAATGTTGGATCGATTATTTATTGATTGATTCAGGAAATGATCAAGACCAAGAGTGTCGTCGAAAATCTCGTCTACGAATGCACAGAAACAGCGGAGTACATACCCAGGTGAGTAGGTTACCGATAACCACTGGAAGGTAGCTAGCTTTGCTACTGGTAAATTGGAAAATGTTTCAGATTGATCACTTCGATTCGGGAAAGCCAAAAGGCAGAAACGGCCAGTGAAAAGTTCCGTGCGCAAAGTCGTCTCATAAGGGATTCACATCAGGTAGGTAGCCGTCATGGATTCCATGAAACTGCCCATCAGCACTACACCTACCCTTTTCAGATCTTGGCCCCTGCAACTCGTCTTGTAGACATGGCCCGTACCTCAGTGGCCCATGTGAGCGAGAATCACATTGCTTCGAATCTCCAGCAAGCCACCAACGGACTATCGACGACCCTCGCAGAACTACGAACTGCCTTGAATTCAGCTCAACAACTGAACTTCAGTCAGCAGCTCTATCACAGTGAAGAACTCATTCGGGTCAGTTTTCGGTACTTCCCACTCAATGCCGTTCCCTGATGAGGTTCATATTCCAGGAGCTTGACCAGGAAATCCTCGATGTTCAAAAGGCGGCAATCATGAAGCAGCTGACTCCGCCACGGGGAGTGACCTCCCAGTCTTCCACATCGCATCTGATGTCGTCAGCAAGACAGGTAAGTTAAAGAGGACCATAACAGGAACAGCTGTAAATTCATAAACGAATTTCCAGGTTGGCAGCAGTGTCGCCCAGCTAGTGTCGGCTGCCACAACGAAGGACGAGCAACACATCGGTGCGTCGGC